TCTCAAAATCAAGAGCTGCTGGAAGTAAAAATATTATAAAGTAATTTGAATTTAACTTGTGGGGGAAAGTATTGAAGAATGAGTTTTCTGTTTTGTTTGGAATTTAATTGTGGTGAACTATATATATATAACATAGAAGTTGGCATTTGAACTTTTTAAATGTACTATTCAACAATATTAATTACACTCACTACGCATTCAAAAACTTTTTCATTACCACAGACAGAAATTCTTTGTCAATAACTTTCTATTCTCTTCTCCATTCCTCTTTAGCCGAAGCCTCAGCTATTCTCTAAGAATCTGACTACTCTAGTTATAGGATATAAGTAGAGTTATATAATATTTGTCTTCTGTGTCTGACTTTTTTAAGGTTCATCTATGGTATAGCATGTATCAAAACTACATTCGTATTTCTTGCTAAGTAATACTCCATTGGGTGTTTATGTCTCATTTTGTTTATTCATACACTGTTAGATACTTGCATTATGTCCATTTTCTGCTGCTATACCAAAATGTGTGAAGTTAGGGACGAATAAAGAAAGGGGGTTTATTTAGCTCACAGTTTTGAAGACCCAACATCATGGTGCTGGCATCTGCTCTGCTCTGGTGAGGCCTTCTGTTTACATTACAACATAGCAGAGAAACGGAAACGGAACTGGCTGTACAGATGGAGCCATGCATGTGGAGTACTTTGCTTTACAACAACCCTCTCTCACAAGAATTAGCCCACTCCACAACTCTGATACTAATCCCTCTGAGGGTAGCACCCCCAGCAACCAAATCACCATGTGCTAGTCTCTTACCTCGCAAAGGCTCTGCCACCTCAACACTGTCACACTCAGGACCGAGCCCTCCAGCACAAGGAGGACCAACCACATACAAACCTTGGCAGATATTTTCCACCTCCTGGCTGTTGTAAATAATGTTCCTGTCAACACTGGCACCCAAGTATCTGTTTGTGGCCCTATTTTCAAACCATGTGGACTCATGTGTAGGAGTAGGATGGCTGGTCAGGTGGTAATTCTATGTTGAACTTCTTGAGGAACTGCTGAACAGTTTTTTGCAACAAGTACAACATTTCACATCCCACCAGCAATGACAAGGGTTCCAATTTCTCCACGTTTGCCAATGCTTATTTTCTGTCCTTTTGATTATAATCACGTGGGTAACTCACCGTGACTCTGACTTGCATTTCCCAAAGGACAGTAAGCATTTTTTCATGCACTCAGCTTCCATTCACACATCTTCTTTGAGAAATGACTATTCAAGACCTTTGTCCATTTTTCAATTGTGTTGTAGGTGTTCTTTATATATTCTGGATATATACCCTCTTCAGATACATGACTTGCAATACTTTTTCTCATTCTGTGTTGTCTTTCATGCTCTATTGATTTTTAATCAAATTCAACTATTTTTTTCTACTGCTCATTGTGTCTTTGGTGTTATTGTGAAGAATCTATTACCAAATCCAAAGTCATGAAGAGTGCCCCCACCAAGGTATTCTTCTAAAAGAGTAATAGTTTGGGCCTTTAACCTTAGGGTCTTTAATCTATTTTGAAATAATTTTCATAGATTGTACAAGGAAAAGTTCAACTTTATTCTTTCATGTAGTTGTCCAATTTTTCATGTGGTTATCCAATTTTTCCAACATCGTTTGCTACAAAGAATGAATTATCACTTTAACAATTAAGATACCATCAATGCTGTATGGCTGAACATTTTAGTGCTGACAATTATGTCAAATTGGGATTTTTTTCAGTATTTATAATGATTTTGTTGTGGAAAAAAGCATCTCAGGTTTTATTATAAAATGTTTCTAGCCTTCAGAAGTAAAAGATGCTCAATATCAAATTTAAATAATAAAGGTAAACAAAAAGGAGAAAATAAAATAACATTCAGAGAAAACCACAGATAAGGGTGTGTGTGTGTGTGTATGTGTGTGTGTGTGTGTGTGTGTGTGTGTGACTGGGGTTTGAACTCAGGGTTTTGAGCTTACAAAGCAGGTGCTCTAGTGGCTTGGGCCACACCTCTACTCCATTTTGATCTGATTATTTTGAAACTGGAGTTTCTCAATCTATATGCCTGGGCTGGCCTCCAACTGTGATCCTCCCAATCTCAGCCCCCCAAATAACTAGGCTTACACACATGCCACGAATGGTGGGCTTGGTTTCTATTCTTAAAGTGGTCTTTTCCTCTCTCAAAATATCCTTCTAGACTTACTGTATTTATCTATGGCAACTTATTTTATAATGTGACTTTTAATGGCTACATGTATACAGCCAAAAACATCATTTTCTACTTAACCAAGTATGTACTAGAGAATGTGCAAAATCTACACTGTCCGATGGCAGTGCACTAACCATAAAAAACTCATTAAAAGTAAATAAAATTTAAGAAGTAGTTCCACAACCATAGTAGTAACATTTCAAGTGCTCAATAACCACCTGTAGCTCATGACTACTATATAACACAGATGAGGAACAGTTTGCTCATGATAGCAAGTTGTGTTGGACACGAATTCCTTCCGGATGTTTGTAAATTATCCCTATTATAAATAAGTCGAGCTACCACATATAAACTTTGATAGCTCTGAAAATTTGTCTGGAATAAGCTTCAAGAAATGAGTTGCTAGGTTCAGAAGGCATACAAATATTTGTCAGTTTCCACTGTCAATATAATAGACAGAGAATGATCTGATTACAGGTGTGGTAAAAGAACGGGAAAGGGAGAGGAAAAGGTCTCTGAGGACCCATCATCCAGAGATATTCAAATGTAACAGTCTTCATAAACACTAGTGCAGCAGCCATAGTTTGTCCTGACAGGATGTTAGCACATTACACTGTCTCCAAGCACCATTTATTATTTACTAACACCACTTTTAGGGATAAATATGAAGTTGTTCATTGTGGTTTGCTTTTAGGCCATTTTTTATTGCAATGACCATTTCTTCATATGTGATAGAAAAGGATATGAAAGCTCTACTTTCTAAATATGTTCAAATATATTACCTTAGTTTGAAACTTGGCTTTGGCGGGGGGCGGAGGGGGGCGGTGGGAGGCAGTACTGGGATGTGAACTCAGGGCTTTGCACTTGCAAGGCAGGCATCATCTACTGCTTGAGCTGCACCTCAAGCCCTTTTTTATTGCTCTGGTTATCTTAGAGGGAGTGTTTCATTTTTTGCCCAGGCCAGCCTGGATCACGATCCTCCTATTTTACACTTTCCTCCCTTGTTGGGAATGGCAGGTACATGGCACCACACCCAGCTTTTTTTCCATTGAGATGGGGTCTATCTTGTGACCTTTTTGCCCAGTTGGCCCAGAACCTCGATCCTCCAAATCTCAGTCTCCCACATAACTTGAGATAACAGGTGCACACCACTGTGTTTAGCTATTGGTTAAGATGGAGTCTCATGAAGTTTTTGCCCAGACAGGCTTTAAACTGTGATCCTCCTGATCTTCATCTCCCAAGTAGCTAGGATTAGAGGTATAAGCCACCAGCACCTGGCTTAAAATCTGTCTTTTGATTGTTATGAAATGTAGAAAGTTAACATTTATATACAGTAAAAATTGACACCCTTTTCTTTATGTTTCTGCTTTATGTGACATACTTAGAAAAGACTTTCCTGATTATATAGTCAACCTAGTATTTTCACCTTAGACATTTAAATAGTTACACTATACTGAGTATAATCTTCCTGCCATGTTGAAGTATTTCCCAATCTTAATACAATGTTAAGGGGTAAAAATTTACAATTGAATTCATCCAAGTTACCAAGAAGACATTAAATCCAGTCACTCTCATATGGAATAAGAAAACTGTACTTTTTTATTTTAGAAATGCAGCTCTGAGGGTTTGGCTTTTTCAGGAAGTATCATTTCCACTCAGTCTAGGCATTAGACCTTGTATTTTCCTCAAAAATGAAGAGAAATGTGAGCTAAGTAAAAAGAATTTCAGGAGAAAGGAAAAAGTATATAAGGAGAATCAAAAGATGAGATCTATTCTATAAAAGATATACCCTTTTGGACCAGCCCTTCATAATTCCTGAAAAGGGGCCTAAAGGACAACTCCATAGCAAATGGTTCCCATGCTTGGTACCCAGACCTGTGCATTTTTTCACTGGCACATATAAGGGTTTTCAACACATAAAATTAAACAACTGTTACTTTCATATCTTACTATCTATGATCTTGTTATTCTCAAAAATAACTCAAACATGTTTTACTAAGAATAAAGTTGTAACTTCTATTTATTTTAGTTTACCTACTTTTTAAAAGAGAACAAAAGTGGTAAAACCCATAATTACTAAAATTCTATAAAGTTCCATATGAAAATTTATTAAGACTCAATTTCTTCAAAGATAAGTTTTAAAGCTTTAATTAAAAAAAAATACCCTCTCCCCGCAAGAAGAACACTTTCTTATCTGGCAGAGGTGTCACTTCTACCATAATTTCAAATTCATCTACTAAACATTTATCACCTTATATTCCAATTACTTGTAAATGTGCCTGCCTATCCTTCTACCTCCTTAAATTCAGGTCAAGTCCTGTACATTCTTTCCCTATCGCTAGTCTCCTATGAGAACTTGGCACCAAGCATGGATAAGTAATGGATGCCATGACACTTCTGTGACTACACATATTTGTCCAAGACTTCTTGCCCCCTTTCCTAATCATTTAACACTCATTTGTGTTTCAGGCTCCTCATTTAAGTACTTACCCCAAGGAGTGCTCTTGTTTACACAAAGGTATAATTAATTACTAAGTACAAACTTCAAACTGCCACACTGTATTTTAGCAAAGTTATTAATGTTTCCATTTTACAAGAAGAAAAACTGAAGCCACCAGAGGTTATAAATTTGCCAAAGGTAATGCCACAAGTAGATCACAGAATTAGATAAGAACTGAGAGTTTTTAATTCCACACCATGTACCTTTCAGTGCATCAAGAAGAGTTTTCAAATAACCTTTTAAACAAGTCATCAATTGAACTAGAAATACTTACACTGACCCCAGCGCCCTGTTCTTGGGTTTAAATAATTTGGATAAAGACCATTTGGACGATCCATTTTCTGGAGTAGTTTCCGAATATGCATGACCTAAACAAAATAAAATTAAGGATGAAATTAACAAAAATAAATGTTATAAAAGCTTGACAGTAGTCTAGGTTTTTCTCCTTCCTCAGAACCTGCACCCACCCTCGGCCTTTTTGTGTATGGTGGTCAGTCAAGGCTTCTATTTCTTAAATTATTATTTTTATAAGATGATACATGATCACTATTTCAAAATCAAGCAATAAAATTAATACAAAGAAGGGCTGACAGCATGGCTCAAGTGGAAGAGCATGAGGCCCTGAGTTAAACCCCAACACTACCAAAAAAAAAAAAAAAAAAGAAGAACTAAAACTATTAAAAAAAAAAAAAGTAATACAAAGAGAAGCTCAGGTAGAAAATATTTTAAATCTCAATATTCTACTATCCACAAACAGCCATCAGAACGCCAGCAATAAATATTCCAGGCATATTCAAACATAAGACAGAAATAATTTCATAAAAATGGAATAACATTTCTATTAAAAGTATTAAATAATTTGAATTTAATAAATGAAATAAAACCAAATTGTTAGACTTAAAATATTTCCCCATAATATATATCCCTAAATTCTTAAAATTCCTAAAAGATCTCTCTGAGAATGGGGGAAGGGGAACATGAGATATATTAAGAAGTTAGGCTCTTTCCCAAAGATTTGGTTTGCCTCTAGATTGGTTAGATTTTCTCTAAGTGCTACATGGCAATAAAGGAGCTCTACTACTTGAATTCTTGCTTTAGAATAGCTTATTTATACATAAAATGTTAATTTAAAAATCTGAATAGGCCATGCATCCATGCTGTTTTTCCATGTAATGCATAACCGGATGGGGTAAATGACTTGGGATAACACTTTCTTGTCTGCACTTAACCACAACACTGACTCTTACTACAAGGTTTCCAACCATCTTTCACTGGGCTGGATTTTGTCATGGTGTAGTTTTAGGAATGGGCTTAAGAATGCTCTTTATATTCCCTCATGTTCTTTCATGTTTGAGACATTATATACAACAATCTCAATCTGAATTTGACAGTTCTGAATGTTATGAGATGAAAAATTAACACTTTTGTCATCTGAAAATTATATGCACTATTGAATTCTCTCTGCTTTTTATCTTCTATATCAATCATTTCCTTTCCTACCTTTTTGGACTTCTATACCTTCATTAGCTTTTCTCAGTACTGTGTTCTAAGTCTCTTTCTGCATTTTGAACCTTGTTATTACATTGCTTCCATTTTGGCCTTCATTTTGTTGGTAACTTTTTCTTAGGCTTTGTTATCAATACCAGACTTTATTATCTCTGAGCACTTGTATCTCTGTTTGTATACTTGTTTTATGGGGATGAGAATTTATATTCCTATGGTGATGTTTGATCAGTATTCTTTGGGGGTCAGTACTGGAGTTTGAACTCAGGACCCCACACTTGCTAAGCATGCGCTCTACCACTTGAGCCACTCCTCCAGCTCTTGGTCAGGATTTTCAATTGCTCTTTTCTGATAAGTATCTTTTTTTGGGGGGTCACTATTGATTATTCATGTTCCTTTCCTCCTGTGTTCTGGTCTTTGTATAAATTCTATACTTGCTCTTTTTTGATGAGTTACTCATGATCATTTTTCTTGACTCAGTTGTTCACAAAACGTTTTAATATAAAAATTAGGTAGAGTCCAGATATGAATCTGTTTTTAACCTTTACTTCTCCCTAGCCAGCTAAGATTGTTATTAGCTAACTACTCATAACATTCCTTCCCCCTCACTAGTTTGTAGTCACAAACACAGCTTCTGTGACATTCCAGTCATGATAATCTTTTTTCAAGCGTCTCACACATTACTTCTGGTCCCAGGAAATATCTGGCATCATCCTATTTTCATAGGACCTATTTTCAGGTCCTATGCCATGCCCTTGAATAATGTTTTGAATTCTGTTTCTCTTTTGTTAGATTCTTGGCTTATGGAGAACATACTTTTGTTCCTAACACATAAAGTATCTTTTTATAAAATGATACTTTTTGTTTCTTGTAGCTGATGCAGAGAAATGCTGATTTTTATAGTCTAACTGCTATTTTATAGAAAAAAACATATTAAACTTTTGCTCCTAGGCAGTTAAATGCAGACTGTCAGGCATGACTCAGGGTAGAGTGCATGCTTACTAGCATGTGCAAGATCCTGTATAACCACAGCAACCACCCCCAGAAAAGGTAGACTGTCTTAATGTATTAGGTAGATGACCACGTAATCTATGAATAATTAGTATATTTCTTCTTCCTTTTCAATTATTAAACCTTTTGTTCATTTTGGTGTTCTAGTCTTACCATGATGGCTAGGAACTTCAGAACAGTGATGAGTAAAAATGTCAACAAAACTTCTAAAGACCTAAGAATGGTTACAGCCTCTCGAGTAATAATAAATATTTTAAATATGTCCTAAATAGAAAAGAGATTACATTGAATAATTTTAAAAGAAAAAATAATAAAAGCCAGAGTCCTGATAAATTTATTAAGGACTAAGGTCTTTGTGCAAATCTTAAAGGACTCTTTTAACACAAACACAGAAAAAAGGAAAGAAAACTAACCTTTCTGTAGTAAACCATGTCCCCTGTCAAGTAGCTGAGGTGAACAAATTCCATATGTAGTGTGCCAAATTCAGCCAGAATACTGCTACCTGCAGATGCCCAGCCCCAGTTTCGCCCTACTCCACTGAGTGAAAGGAAAGAGGAAAGGAGAAAGGTGGGGGAAAACATCAAAACGTTTTTTAAGGAACACAAATTTTAAGTAACTCTCTGAGAAATTATTATGTCTAACAATATTTACATTTAAAATTTTGATGATTAAAAATTTGAGTAAGTCATATATTCATGTTTTAAAACTCAAGACAATATACAAATGTATATATAAGACAGGCATGATGATATATGCCTATAATCCTAGCACTCAGGAGGTGGAGACAGAAAAAGTGCAAGTTCAAGGTCAGCCTGAGCAACATAGTGAGTTCTAGTCCAGACTGGGTTATATGGTGAGATCCTATATTTAAAAAAAAAAAAAAAAAAATATATATATATATATATATATATATATATACACATAGACACACATGAAATATACATATATATAAAATATACATGTTTATAAGCACATTAAGTATTTCCCATTCTTATTCTTTTCACATCACCAGCTCCACAATCACTTTCACTAGTTTCTTAAATATTCAGAATCTTTTATGCATATGTAAATGATCCAAACAAATACTATTATTTTCTTCCTTTCTTAAAACAAAACATAAGCAGACTACCAACTGCTCTGTATTTTGCACTGTACTCTTCCAATGTGCCTTAGTAGTCTTTCTCTAACAGTATACAGCTTTCTCTCTCTCTCTCTCTGCACAGAGCACCATATTAATGGTTCTCAATTGGAATGCCCTACTCAAGAGGCATATGAAGAGATAGCATTTTAACTTGTCTCAAACCTAGAAGGTGCAACTTATGTTTACCATGCTAGGAATGAAAATATAAAATGCTCTATAATGATCTGAACAGTATCACAGAAAAAAGAGCCATCCAACCCCAAACACTGGCTGTGCCTGCTTGAGAACTACTGTACTCTATAAATGCACATAATTTAATCATTTCCTTTACTGATGGTCCCTTGGGATATTTCCAGTATTTTAAGATTTTGAAAACTTTTACAGTGGATAATCTTGTATATATTTCACTTGCATAGATATAATTCTAGGACATGCTCTTGTTCTTTCTTAGCCTGCCCTGTAAGTTTTTACTTGAAATATGACTTTATAAATGAGAACTTGTAGAGGCTTTAGATGATGTCATCTTTAAGAAGACAGGATGAATGCAAGCAGATCTCAGATCCCCAGGTCTGGGGTGTTTACTGAGGCTCCTTCACCTTGCTAGACTCAATCACTAATCTCTGTTGTCTTCAGCACATGTGGTCACGAAATCTTTTCATTACTCCTAGGCTCCTTCTGCCATTTTCTGCTGGTTTTCTCTGAGTCTTGCCCCATGTGTGTGCAATTATACAAGCACCCATTGACTTGAGGAAAACTTGTATATAAATTTTTGGACTTCCATAATTCCTTCCTGTCAAGATTTTTTTCATTTCTCAGTCACTTCAGCAGTTTCAAGACCTGTTTGTCTCCTCTGCCCCCAAAAGACCATCACTTTAAGCTAAACCTATATTGCTATGCACTGTGATCTCGAATGACCTCAGGAGAAAAGGCCAGCCTGAGGTACATAGTGAGAACCAACGTCAAAGATGATTACATGGGTATGGCCTTCTCATAAGATCATAGTCCCTCAAGTCCCAAGTTAGTTATCGCCAATCTTCAAAGCATTTGGTTTTATACATTTTGTCTACGTTTTATGATTGTTTTTGGTAAGAGGGCAGAGTCTGATAAAAGCTATTCCACAGTCAGATGTAGAAGTCTAGATTAATTATTCAAACACCAGAGTGTATGGATTATTTTGACTACAAGTAAGAATATTCTTATTAAACCATTCCCTAGAGTGTTTTTTTACTTTCAGAAGGATGTAAAAATATAAATGTTTTCTCTCATACATTATATCAGCTTTATAGACTGTTAATTCAGTATGCTGTATTTTATTGATCTGTGTTAAGAATACATTAAAATCTGTATCAGACATATCACTACCTTGTTTAAAGTATAGTGCTACTTTTACATTGTCTTTTTGAAATTATGGAAGACAAATACCAATAACACATTTTTTATAGTTAGAAGTGAGAATCAAAGAAGAAAAATGGATACAGTAACTACATATCATTTCACAAATAATAAGCCTACTATGCTATGAGAGACACTGGTAAATCTGTCATATAATATTCCTGCTCCCATAACAAATAAGATCACTGAAATAGTGATAGATGCTATAAAGAAAATGAAGTAGGGAAATAGACTATTGAATACCAAGGATAGAAAGCATATTAGCGCTGAGTATAGTGGTGCACACCTGTAATGCCAGCACTCAGGAGGTTGACGCAGTAGGATGGGAAATGCCAGGCCAGCCTGAGCTACATAAGGAGACCCTGTCTCCAAAAGAAGGCGGGGGAAGAGGCTGGCATGGCTCAAGTAGTACAGTGCCTGATACCAAGTATAAGGCACTGAGTTCAAACCCCAATACCACCAAAAAAAGAAAGGGAGGGAGGAAAGAGAAGAAAGGGTGGGAAGGGGGGGGTAGTAAGGGAAGGAGTGAAGAAGGAAAGAAGACAGGCTGGCATATTAGAAGAAAGACTTTTTATGTATGATGTTCAGAGAAAGTATTTCTGAAATTAGACAATTTCAGCTGAGACCTAACAGATGAGAAGTAGCCCCTGATGAACAGACCTGGAAGAAGAGAATTCCCAGCAAGAAAAACAGGAAGGGGACTGGTGTGGCTAGAGCTCAGACAGTAAGTCAATGATACAGGACAAGGTTAGAGAGTGAGACATAATCCAGACTACACAAGAATTCTGTAGGCCATGATAAAACTTCAACATTTTTGTTTCAAGCATAATGGAAGGTCATAGAGGCATTTAAGGAACATAAAATAATATTTTGAGAATAAAACATGCCACTTAGAAAGATTAGCTAGCTTTTAACACAGCAAATGGATTACAGTGTAGTCAAAAACAAAAACACAAAGTGTAGGAAGTCCAACAGTTTACTCTACAAAAATTATAAAGAAAAGTTTTATTCACAGTACAAACACTTTTCAAAATGCTAGACTTTTGATCCTCTATTCATTCAGCCTCATAGGAAGAATTTGGGACATTAAATTATATTCTAACAGCTCAAAAATAAGAAAATTCCGAAGAACAAGACACAAAACTGCTGAGAACAGAAAAAGTCCAACTACAAAAAAAAAAAAAAGATGAGCTGCCAAAAACTTACTAGATCATAACTTCTACTATCAATTTATGTTTTCTTAACTGATCAAAATAAAAGCTATAGATTATGTTTTATATATACTAAGAGAAGCAGAGTAACAAAAATTTGCAATCAATGCCAACATATAAAAACAATCAAAAAACACCATCATTTCTCTCTTGACTAACGATCAGCAATGAGAATTTAGAAATGTTTGGTTACCTTTTGGTGATTTACATGGTAAATCAACCTGTGTCCTATAATCATATTAAAACGTTTTGATAATGAATCATCTATATTTTTGGATGTATTCTATTCAAAGTTCATTGGAAATCTGCAATCAATGTATTCACAAAATAAAACTTCTAGTGAACTGCAGTTATCAATAACAAAGTTTATAAACACAAATGCTGAAATTTATCCCACAAGAGCAAGGAGTGGACTAAATAAACTCAAGCACTCGAACAATGTGTAAGCCTCAATAGGAAAATCTTGACCTGAAGAAACAACCATTTGACACGTTCCTATTTTCAATTACATATTTACAATGTATATTTCATAGGAATGACATTGAAAAGCCCTATGATTTTGTATTACCTAAATTAGAATAAGTTATAAAACTAAACTACAAATAGAAGCCTTAGTTTTCACTGTAAAAATACCTAATATTTGTAAAAGGCACTCTGAATGAGAGGAAAGGATATATTTATGAAAACACATGGCTTGAAATATTTACACATTTTAATATAAAAAATTTCAATAGAGAATATTCTGCATTTAAGCAGAATTGGGAATACTTTCTGAAATAAAAGCAAACAAACAAGTGAAGATTACTGAACTTACATAAATCTACAAGGATATATTCTTTACTTTTTAGTAATTATTTCATTTTGGAAAATAGATTTAATAGAACTATTCTATAGTAAATCCAATAAAATAAAATTAGTCATTAAATGTTTTAAATAATTTTAATCATTTTAACTCCATCCATTCCCAAACTGTGCACTGACAACTAATACCCATAAGGTCAGCCCTCGTGATGCCATCCTCTAGTTTTTAAATATCCACAGTACAATATAAATATTTCCCCCATAATATGAGGCACCATATTATTTTACCCTGAGGATTACCAAATCTGCTTCACTCGCCCCTTAGAGGTTTAACCTAATTTTGTTTTTATGAGATATGCTATGACAAACATCATTCTGTCTTGTTAGCCCAGGCCTCTAATTATTTCCTTAAGGTAAACTGCCAGATGTAGAATTGCTGAGTCAAATTCTGCAGGTTTAAGCTGGGTGCCAGTGGCTCACTCCTAGCTACTCAGGAGGCAAAGATCAAGAGAATCTTGGTTTGAAGTCAACCGTGGCAAATAGTTTGCAAGACCCTATCTCAAAAAAACCCAACACAAAACAGGGCTGGTGGAATGGTTCAAAGTGTAGGCCCTGAGTACAAATACCAATACTACAAAAAATAAAAAAATAAAAAAAATCTGTCTGCAGATTTAGGGCTATCGACAGGTGATAATAGTCCACAAGTACAGCTGCAATGTAAGAATAGCTTTGCCTACCTCGCCCAACAAAAGATGGTCAAATTTTTTTAAAATCAGAGGCATCCCTGTTTGACTTAAGATGAATACAACAGCTTTATTTAACTTTTACTTAATATGAAATCTGATTACATTGTCATTTAATTTAGAGGAATTTGTTACTCCGTTCTGAGACATGAAATTTTAAAAATTGCATCGCGATCCTTCTGACCTTTTGGGTTCTAAGCAGGAGGTGTCAGAAAAGTTACCACAGGGATATAACTAGCTTGTGGTAGC